AAGCATATGATAAAACAAAAATCTATGAAGACAAAATGAAAATATGACATGATCAGAAGATTGTTAGAAAGAAGTTTGAACTTGGACAAGAAGTTCAAGTTCAACTATATAATACAATATAGAGATTATTTCCAGGAAAATGAAAATGTAGATGTTTAGGACTATTTAAAGTGACTAAAGTCTATCATTATGGAACTGTTATAATTAAAGGTACTAGCACTAGAAAGATATTTAATGTTAATCCGCATCGATTGAAATATTATTATGAAGGGCACATACCACAATTTAAAAAAATTTTAAGGTTAAGTCAACCCAACTAAATAAATGGTACGTCAGGCTGATGACTTTAAACCAAGGGCTTCATGGAAGGCAACCTCTGGTGCATCAAGCTCCACCCTGCCGCAGCTCCACCATTTTACTATATCCGGCTTTGTTGCAGCTCCATTTCCTCTCATTTTAGTTGCATTTCTCTCCAAATAAATATACCTACAAAATAAAAATGAAAATAACCTTTCTTTAAAGTTTAATTTCATTAAAAAATCTGTGAGAAATGTAAAATTGATTAATCATAGAAAGACATATCGAAATGTGTTAAGTCAGAATTTTCTTTCTTACTCGTTTTTACTCCAAATTTTATCATTTTTGCTTCACTTTCTCCAAAAGTGAGGCTAAATTCACGTCTTTTCATGTTCAATTTGATTCCAAATTTTCCTTCAATACTAATATTTGTATTAATTTATAATATATATAATTGTATAGGATTATTAACTTCTAATATATAAAACACTTATCGAACAAAATAGTAATACATACATATAAAGTGAGAGTTAGACTACAGGTGAAGGGAAGTGGGAGCTCTAGAGTGAGAGCCAGTATCCTCCTAGCCTAGCCACGGATTTAGGGACTAAACCTAGGATTAGCCAATGATTTTCTATAACACTGTGTCAGGGTAGAGAATTAAAGGTGTTCGTATTTGGTACAATACATATTAAAACCATTTATCTCATCTCATTTTACCAAAATCTCATTGTAGTTTCAAAGATGCTTTTTCACATAAGAAAGCTTCATCACATAAACATAGTTTAGTAGCTTAGTAGTTACTATTTAAACTTAGCATTTCTATTTAAACTTTGCATTCTAGTTTTGCTGATAGTTAAATAATTTAGTTTTGATAATATCATAGCATTCAAAATTAGTGGCAGTAATTTTATTTTACTTTCTAGGAATTTCTTAATAAATTTATCTTTTCAAATTTAAACCTTCCCCGTGGGATTGATATTCGGGGCTTAAATAGAAAGTCATTTATTACTTGATAATGATAGTATACTTGCATAGAATCCCAACATTAATTGCTTAAATTTCTTAATCATAAATAGTGCATCAAGCTTTTGGCACCGTTACATAACAGTGTCAAACTTATATATATTTTACACAACTATATTTTCTGGTATCATCTATCACAAGTTCTAATAAAAGCATTAACATCTCTAAAGATAGTAGGCCAATAGAATCCAAATTGTAAAATTTTTTATGTTATATTATCAACACCAAAATGTCCCCCAAAATCAGAATTATGACATTTTTTGATAATTTCATAAGTCTCTTCTTAAAGTACACATCTTCGAATAATAATTTCTTTGTTCATATAAAAATGAGTCATCCAAAAAATAAGTCTTAGCTTCCGCAATAAATTTCCTCTTCTGTTGGTATGTCATTCCATAGGGTATAATATCTCTAAAAAAAGTTCACAATGTCAGCATACCACATAACACGCCACTCATTAATGCCAAACAATATTTCATCTGGAGAATGTTCATTAATTTCTTTTTCAAAATAGAGTAGTTTTCTAACTTAAGCCTGAAGAAATGATCAGTAATTTGATTTTCAGTTCCCTTCCTATCTACTATTTCGATGTCAAATTCTTACAAAAGAAGAATCCATAGTATAAATCTTGGTTTACCGTCCTTCTTTTTCATTAAGTACTTAATAATAGAATGATCTATATGCACTACGCAATGAGTTTTAATTAAATATGATCTAAATTTATCAAAGGCATATACTATTGCTAATAACTGTTTTTCAGTTTTTTTATAATTAATTTGTGTTTCATTAAGCGTTTTACTAGCATAGTAAATTACTTTAAAAATTGTGTCATATCTATGTCCTAAAATAACTCTAATAGGATAATCAATGGCATCACATATCAGTTCAAAAGGTTTTCCCCAATCTAGTGAAACTATAATTGGTGCAGTGACTAATTTTTCTTTTAATAACTCAAAAGCTTTTATG